CATAGTCAAGCACATTACATTCCGTTATTCCACCTGCAACAGGGATCTCCGTAAGAGGAATAGCTTAATATTCAAAGCCCTAACATAGCTTTTAATAAATTTACTATGAGGAATGAACATCTGTCACATCAGACCAATAAGCTGTGTTATGTAAACATGATCTCTTTTAGGTCCTAACTAAACCCAGTGTATTCCCAGAATGAGACATACGGCTTTGGTTGGGGGAAAACAGCAGCAACAATTAAAACTTGCATGTCTTTTTTGCTAAATAAATGCCTGTGTATCTGAGTTTGGCCTTGACTCAAGCAGTCATCTGACACAGCTGTAAGTAGTAGTGTTCATGTTTCTTTAATTCCTGGGTCTTATGCAATATGACAAAGAATGCTGAATTATTTACATCTCACAAGCGTGTTCACTGTTATAAAGAGCACCCACCTCATTCGCATCACCCACAGCACCTTTGTGTACTGTAGTCTGACACTGGGTTCAGGTAGGTCAGCTTTTCTGGCAGTAGTGTGTATGCCATGATTGAGGAGCCATCATGAACAGAAGGACCAGCCATCTCACCCTACAAATGCAGAGCCTCTCTAGCGTCAGGTCCCAGACCATATGGAGCACTCAGTCTCTGTTTTAATCGCATTTCTCTACCACTACGAATTAAGACTTCACAATACAGATTTTTTTTTCACAGATTTGTGTGCGTTCTGCCCATGATCGAAACAGTTGCCTAGCAACCTAATGATGAGAGCAGCCTTGAGAACTGGATGAATAATGTCAGTCTGATTAACACAGGCTGAACCAAAGCGCTTCAAGGAAGGGGGGAATATGGGGCCAGGAGATGATATGCATGTGCCCCACATCTTACTGGCCAGTCTTTGCATTTGTCTTAAACAGTTATATAAGCGTGCGGATGCCCTACACCAGAGCTACTATGTGAGAATGCCTGTGTTTGGTGGATCAGAGGGCATGAGCTGGCCAACTGGGCTTCTGGAGAGCAGTGGCTCCTAGCAACCTGCTTCTCTGCTGCCTGTCAGCTGCAGTCCCTGGGACGAGACCAGCTCTAGCTGCCTGGCTGCTTCATGTCTGTGCTGCCTTCCAGTGGAGATCGGTCTGCTCTGTCTGCCTATTTTATTTTGGTTCCAGTGCACGAGTGTGTTTGTGCGTGAGTGTGTATCCAGGGGATCCATGTGTGCCCATTTCCTGTATGTCTGTATGTGCATTTGCTGTTTGTGTGCAGCATGCATGTCAGTCTGTTACAACAATGCCAGTGTGAGAAATACATTTTCCCTCATACTCATTTACTACAAGCAATATCAAATTTGCAAAGAGTAAATAAGGTATTGAATAATTACAGGATCGATTGACCCCAGCTGAAATAAAATCCATTCTGCATTTAACCTTTGGCTTGGCAGAGAGCTGCTGTTGTTAGCGTAGACAGACATGAAAGATCGTTTGTGTTTGACTGGCACATGCCTTCCTGGATACTGCTGGCCAGAAGCAGAAACATGACTGCTGTGATAAGGAAACACTGATCCCTCCCGCACTTCATACACAAAACTGTCATAGTCAGCAGCTTTCTGGGTGTGAGCTCATGTTGCTCTATGGGTGAAAGTAGCTTTTTTTTCCTTCTTCATAATGTAGATGAAAAGCATGCATTATCTATCGTATTTACCAGTTATTTAACACTGTATTTGGTTGAGACCCTCATGTGAGTTTGTCCTGATGACTTTTTCTCGTTACTTCAAATTTTACCTGATGGCAATGACTCTAATCACCATATTATTCGCCTTTCTGTCAGCTGTTTGTGCTAAATCTTTTTATTACAGTTCTCCTTTTTTCACATTCTGTCGTCGTTTTGCGTCCCTGGTCAATGCTCATGAAAAGTTTCTCGCAGCACAGATTTGTAAGTTCATACTGAGTTTTTTTTTGCATACTAGGATGGTTCTCTTTCCATCACACCTCCCTTTCTGCCTATCAGTGATGTGCGAAAAGGCTTATCATATGGTGAGGACCAAAGGTGCAGGGCTGGGCCTCTGCACATGGGTCCCTGCCTGTCAGGATATGCAGTGCTCCCCTAATCCTTGCAGGATCACTGTGGGATCTCACCCACTGGCTGTTGTTTCCAGGTCACCATTTCAACAAATGTGCTAATTATACCTTTCATAATTCTATGAGTTCCAATTCTAAATATTCACACAATATGCACACTGTACTTCTCCCCAACTAGCAGCATCAAACCCTTTGATTTGTGCCATAAGGGCTCCTGTGTGGAAAATAGCATTGAGTAACAGGGGAGTAAGAAGCGGTATGAACAGGTTTGGGATGAGAGCAGTGCTTGTTCATAGCCCTGTTTAGCTTCTCCTTGTATCTTTACCCAGCTGTCAGCAACAAAAGCAAGATCTCAATAAGCAGATAAGCAGCACATATCTTTGCTCTTACAAAATGTTTCTGCAAAACATACCAATCAGATTTAGTTTTGTAGTGTTATATTTAATGGGTAAATTTCTTTTATCTAAAGATTTAACTTTTAATACCAAGCTCTTTTATGGAACAGGCCAGATAGCTACCATAAGTCATATGTACATTCTTCATATGTTTCTCATATATACATTATAAATAAAAGATGAATGACCATTAATTTGACGTCTGCTGCTACAGGGTAAAGACACTCTCTCAGTGAGGCTTGTCCTGTAATAGATATAATAAGCAGCAAACCTCCACCCAGTTGGCCTGCTGATAACATGGGATTGACCATGCGCCTCCTCCTGTGTCTTCTGATGGTCTGTGTCATGGAGCTGGGACATGCGGCACACAGACTGAAAATTGCTGTGGGGGTAAACAGCCACTCCTGCTTGACGCCGTCTACCACTGGACTGTGTGATCTAGTTGTCATGATGCTGCAGTCGTCATGAGCGTCTTGTCCCTGACACTCTGCACCAATAAAATGGCATGTGAGCCTGAATTTGGCCAGCTGAAGCTCTGGCCAGAAACCCAGGACTCTCAGTGATTGGCCAGTAAGGCCCAATGGGATTGTGAGAGTGAAAGAGGTAGCTGGACGGGCTCAGTTTCATACCTCTGTTTTTTCTGGTGTATCTTCAACCTCTTTAGCATTAGCTAAAACAAACAATTCGAGTAGCATAGGTGTAGCGTTGTTTTCAGTAATCATGTACTTAAAAAATATAGTTGTATATGTGTATTTAAATTAGTTAGTGCTTTTATATACCATATCTTCTATTGCTTTTACTGTAATCCATCATGTTAGTTGAGCACTGTTGTCAGAACCTAATTACATTGCAATCAAATGGCATGCAAATGCTTGTATGAATCACATATAGACCAACACCAGTGAGGAGGTCCTTTGATTCTATATTCATAGAGGTCAGCAGATATAAGAAGTGAATTTGCACCCAGTGCTTATTGGTCACCTCCATCTTGAGCATTTCAGCATTGCCACTTGTACTCTGGCTCCCAAAATCTGCTGAAGGTGTAATAGCAGTTTCACAAATATGTAAAGCACACACAATGCTGCTCTGTGACACTGCGGAATTCTCACTCCCCAGTGTGACTGTGAAGCACACAGCCCGTTACCGTCCCGGCCAGTGGCTCAGTGTTTCAGGCCACCGTGCTTCTGAAAGCTGGAAGGAAACTATTCTTGAATACTTAAGTGGCTGAGTTCATTCCCTGAGCAAGAGTGTGTTTGTCTGAATTTGCATTGGCTGGAAGCAGCTCTTTCTCACGCTGCTACTGCATTTAGAGGATCATGAAGTTAACTGACTGTGGACAGCTCATGCGAAGGTTGTGTTGATGGTGCTGCCCTCCACTGGCTCTATAGATAACAGGAAAAATGTCATTTTTACATTTTCAATTTGTGTAATTGTAACTGTGCAGAAACACCATTAAGACAAATGATTGTAATTTTGATAAAATGTGTTGGAATAACACAGTATTTGTTATACAAAAAAATAGATAATAAAAAAGTACGAATTCTTCTAGCCATTTCCAACCACATTCGTATAACCTCTAGTAGGAGGTCACAATATACAAATACAAAGTTGAGATATTGCACATGCAGTATAAAACAGGGAAATTAGCAAAACTATCCTACCGACTCTCATTTAATACAATTATTGAGTCTTAATGCCCCCTAAAAACGATAAATGGATGAAATGGATTTTTTCTTTTCCCTAAAAAAACAGATGGAGGGGTGGCACATTCAGAAGTTGTGCACACAGACAGGGGATTGGCCTATGAGGCTGGTAAAGGACTGGTCATGTGTAGAGCTCAGGAGTCACGGAGGTGTCCATCTGTCAGCTTCCCTTGATCTGCTGAACCTGGCACGTGCTGGTGCTTGGAGAGGAAATGGAGGCACTGAATGTTGGGTTTTTGAGTAGGGCTTAACACATGGGATGATCAGTACCCTCTTTCTAGCAAATCACAGCGGAAAACAGGCTAAACAGGCTGACAACTGCAGTCTTCTGGCATATCTGTGTTTTCAGTTTGATTTCCAGTGCAGTTTGTCTTTTCAATAAATCATTCAAGTAATGAAGAGTGACAATATTTAATGGATGGATTTTCCTGAGATCTGGTGCTGTAAGAAGTCTTCTCTAGTTTTTTGGCGTGCATTGTGTGGCTTTAAATCAATACTCACTTTCAAAAGAAAAAAATAAATAAGAACTTGTCAATATGTATTAATATTTATGTTATACGTCACACAGTTCTTATATTGTAATTTGTCTCTCCATATCATTATTATTTGTTTTATTTTTTTTTGAAGATGAATAGCAACTTTTTGATAACTTGCTGAATGATAAAACAACATTAATTTAATTTAAAATATTCTTGTACCAGTGACTGTACAGATGCCGTCATGCAATGATTGATCTTTTTCTATATGATGTATATTAAATTTCTGTGTGTGGCCTTGGCAGTGTGAACTATGGAGGCTGCCCCCCTTGCTACCCTGTGTAACTAACTGCCTGTTTGCCCTGCCTTTCCTTCAGGGGTACAGAGAGTGCAGCCCCAGCCTCAGGTACACAGCGGAACACCATGGTCACCTTCGCCGTCCGGCCTGGCACCGGCCAGCCTGCCCCCTCCCCGGGCCGGCAACCAGAGAGCATGCCGACCCAGCACCGTTCCCCCAGCCCCGTCATGTCTCCACCGGACTCAGGCTCCGGCCGCGCCTCCTCACTGCCAGCCTCTGCCTCCTCACCCACCCTGACGGACGTGTTCGGCCTGCCCACACCACCCATCACGGGCGAGCGCTTCAGCCTGGGCTCAGGTCGCAGCCGCTCACCCTCCCCGCTGACTCTCATCCAAGCCGTCTCCAACAAGCCTTTCGCCACCAAGCCAGTTGTCCTGTGGACCAAGCATGATGTAGCAGATTGGCTGGAGAGCCTCAACTTGGCTGAGCACAAGGACGCCTTTATGGACAATGAGATTGAGGGGACCCATTTACCGAACCTCCAGAAAGAAGACCTCATAGACTTAGGGGTGACTCGAGTTGGCCATCGAATGAATATAGAAAGAGCATTGAAACTCCTATTAGATAGATAAGAGAGGGTGACCTTTCTTGAAAGGACTGCTCTCTTCGTTCATTTTTTCTTTTTTTTTCCAACTTCTATCAAGTCTGTAATTATATTCCCATTGTGCTCTCGTCTGAGAATAGGAATCATCACATCCTAAAGAACTGCATTTTTGAAATAACCCAAGCAGTTCCTCAATAAGCACAAGAGTTCTCTTGATTCTGAGTGATCAGCACGTGGCCCGGCCTCCGGCCCGGGTCGCGAGCCCCTGGAGCCGGGAAGGCCGCTTCTTTTTAGTGACAAACCTGTAATAGAGACTAATCGCTTTGGAATATAAGGACTTTTTAAATCAGCTTCATTTGGATGCACCCAAACCAGCAGAGCTGGGATTTCATTTTCTATCTTTGCTAGAATTTCTTCAGAGAATATTTCTTCAGAAAAAGGGGTTATATTGATTGATGCATCAGCTGTGTAGAAAAAAACCGTCTTGCTTCTCATGCATTTCTCTGGAAAGAAGATAGTTGAAGTATTTGCTCAGTTGTCGTCATCATTTCTTTCAGAGCACATGTGCAGTCCCAGAATTGATGTTTCTACTTGAAAATTAAACCTCCTCTTAATATTTTGCACCTATTTTACACCTATAGGGGCACAATTGTAGCAAGCAGTCATGTTTGTAAGTTGTCATTTGCTTTCAACTTTTTCTTTTTGGAAATATGGTAAATTTTGATTTAGTTGAATTCAGTATATCTATATGAGTTGTCTGAAAGGTGTAAAATGTAAATTAATCATTATTGTCTTCCACGCAAGTGCAGGTGAGTCAGAGTGAAAGCCAAGGGCCGACCCTCTCTTATTTCAGAATTCCCCCAGCCCAGCCCAACCCTGTCCTGTCCTGTCCTGCCCCCACCCCACATCCACAAAAGAACGTGCCAGATTACCGAAGAGAGCAGTGTTCCTCTTGATTCAGCAACATTCTTTCAGCCATTGATTCCTTTAGTTTGGTCTGATCTTTAACAGTAGGTCTTTTAGTCCTCGATGGAGGCATTATCTGAAGAGACTATTTCTATGTTAATCCTTAGCTCTGAACTGTTGCTCTGTGTTAGCGGTTTTTAGAGAGAAAAAGTTCTAAGATGAACACTTATCAAGGCTCGGAAAACACATATTTTAGCACTGCATTTGGGAAGTGCAAGAACCAATCCTGCATTTTTTTTTTCTTTTCTTTTTCTAAAATCTGGAAGAGAAGCAACATACTGATACTGTGCTGTATGGCTGCAGTGTGTGAATTGTTTAGAGATGTTTTGCTGCTATAATAACATTTAAAGTTACATAAATATGTGTACATATACAGAGAACACTATGTGTATGTATTAATTCGAATCGGGAAAATTAGTATTTGTTTTTTGGGGGGGGATAGTGACACAGGAAGCAGGTGGACAGTTGTCTTCTCATTGTTGCATTGCTGTTAGGTGTGCGCCTGAAGTTTCACGCAGGAAGGCCCTTGTACCTGACCTCCAGGGATGAAGAGGGGAAACCATCTTTTCATCTCAGGGTGTGGCAAGTTGCGAAGGTCCCAGTGGCTTTTGATTGGCTGTCACCTACCTTCATTCTTTTTCACCCATGACAGGTTTGTTATTTTTTAACTTAAGCGGGATGGATATATTGGAAGCTTGTTTTATTTTCTGTATTGGTTTGGTAAAGCAAAAGGTCAGAACATTTGTTTAATATGAAGAATTACCAGATGTCTGTAATCTGCTACAAAGAACAGCTGTAAACGCATGTATTAGAGAATGTAGACCAGTTGCTTTTTAAACCAATGTTAAACTTACAAGGAGCAGGTGGTACTGAACTTTAATGGATTCTTAATAAATGAGAGTTAAGATATGTTTATTCTCATTTACTGGAAGGGTGTAGTTTTGACATTGCACAGTTCTTGAGTGTTTTGAGAACTGTTTTCATACAGTCATCCATCTTTCAACCACTTGTCTTGGACAGGGTTGCAGGGAGAAGTGTTTTCAGAAAACCAGAAATATTATAAATTACAAAAGAGGAACAAAAGGTTTTATTAAAACGTATTAATCTGTTGTGGAACCAACTCCAGAGCACAATAAAGCAGGTCCAAAAACTGTTGCCATCAGAACTGTTCTTTGAAAGCAAATGAGGGTGAAAGTGTCTGTGTTTAATTTTCCAAATCAGTGCCAACAGGAGTGTCTGCTGGGACTCCTTTGATGGGGGTCTGTACCCAGTGAATGGTGGTGGTGGGGGGGGCTATTTTTGTGCAGTTTACGGTATTTCTGCCCCCTCCGTGACAGGACTGAACTGTTGACGTTAATATGCCTGAGCTGTATGAATGGATAAGGTAGATATATATATATATATATATATACATAAAAATATATACACATAAAAAATAATTATTCAAGAAATTAAGGTAATACAGACCTCCTTTAAGATGACTTATAGGAGCTAAGCTGCTAATTCTATCATTTTTAAATAGATATTATTTTAAAACAGAGCTTCAGAGAAAAGCACAGTATTTTTCATGATTTATATAGAATTATATGAAATTTTATAAACTACATAAAGTATGGTTTGTCAAAAATTTATCAGATTTATGAATTACCAGTTAAGAAGCAATATTTATATGAAATGGATCTGCAAGACTATTTTCAAAGTTGCAGATCCTCTCATATAATATCAAAAATTTGACCTATTTTAATTTTGAGGAAAAGAAGTGTAATGCCCATATCCACTTGAGAAATTGACACTTAGAAATAAGATCAGATGGTCACCTGCCTCTGTTACATATTGTAATTACATTTTGAAAATGCTTAGTTTGTGTATAATGTGTGTATAAATTACCAAAATCTCACAGGCTGTAAATTTATATATAACCTCTTAGGCCACTTTATAGCAAACGGTCTGAGCACACTTGTTACGGTAACATATATTTAAATAAAAATGACTAGATGTGACTGTTGACACATTGATTTTATGGAACTACATATCACTAAGCTAATACATTTGTGGAACTAACATTAGAGCTAACTAGTGGAGTTTTTAAAAAGAAAAAAGGAAAAAAAAAAATGCTAAAGGCATCACCCTGTGGATTAGGCTTTGTTGCCAGCTGTGGGCGAACCACCACCAGTCCAGTCTCAAATCGATTTCCTCTTAGAGATCAGCTCCAATTTGGTTTCCTCTTTCTTTTCCTTTATAATTCTTCATAGATATTAAGGTGTTTCTCGCTCTACTTTGTGTAAAAACTTGTGTTCATGATATCTATGTTGCTGTAATTTTGTGCTACAAAATCCTCTTCTTTAGAGTTAATTATTGAAATAAAAGAGAGACGTTCATGTTAAAATGCACTTTCCCCAAAATCCTCAATACTCTTGTATGGCAACCAAAATTTACTGTAAGAAATAAATATAATATTGCACTATGGTTGTATTTCTTTAATGGGTCTTTTATCAGTTTATAGTCTCTATAGAAAATTGGATGATATTATTAGTTCAAATTATGCTTTGTTTCTGTGACGCCAGTTCATCGCTTGTACGCAGGCCATTCGTATGGATTATGTACACGAATCTCCAGTACCTGCAATCTGTCTGAGGATAAAAAGTGCAGTGCTTATTAAAAGTTTTTTTTCTTTCCATGCTTTATGGTTTCACAACATTGACTCACAGTGCAATCAGTTTTTGCAATAATTCTGTTTTTCATATATGTAACTAGATCACTTTGTAGAGTCTGTGAATCAGTAATTCAAAACATTTTAAGGTCTAAGAAAGGATGAACTCCTGTGCCACATATAGTACTTCTCCTCTTCATAGGAGAGTTTATATGTCCTGATCATTAAGGGCCTTAAGACAGTAAGAAAAATATATCAGGCTTGGAGGATGAACTGCAGTGGTGAACAGACTTCAGCCAGTTACATGGTTCTGTTTCCTATCCCACTGTAACTAACCTGTGCTGAGCATGATGACTAAGATGGACAAAGACTTCCTGCAAACACTCAGCAGCCAGTAAATTAGCATGACAGTAATGTTCAGAATTCCGTGTGACAAAACTGTGCCTTGGTGATTTTGTTTTCAGAACTACAGTAAATGTAATGTTTTTCATGTTGCTAAAATAAAGTCTTCCCCGATCCCAGTCTAGTCCTCCAGCTAACCTGGCTCCACTGGAATTCTCAGGGGCACAGGCATTTTCCCAGTTGGCTGATGGGTATGTGGGCCGGCAAAACATTGTGGGGGACCTCCCCCCCCCCCCCAAGTCAGAAAAATCTCTGGGCAAAAGTCATCACTGGGGAACCAAAGTCCTCAGCCCTACTGGTTAGGATTCAGAGCCCGTGATCAGGTCACCGGTTCGAATCCTGTGACTGGAAGAGTAATGCCCTTGGAGGTATATTCCCCTATTACTCCAGGAGTGCAGCCTGACCCTGTACTGTGACCCCCAAGTTTGCCGCCTCACCTGTACATGTGTGGGTGTCACTCATGGAAAGCAAGGTGTGCAGGATGAATAGAGTATCACTGTTCTGCTCATTTATGTGGAACAGGCTGCACTGTCTGAATGTGCTCGTCTCCACTTGGAACAGAAACATCTGAACAGCCTCAAGATTGCAATCAGAATACGATAACATTTAAGAGGGGATACAGTACTTTGTGGCAGAAGCATAATTACTGTTCTAACAAATCTGAATTTTGACAAACACCATAATTGAAATTTACCTATTTAGCAGATGCTTTGTGCAAAGTAAGGATCGGAGAGGAGGATCGGCCAGTGTCCCTGAAGCAACCTGGGTTAAAGGTCAACAGCAACACGATCCCTCCACTGGCCGCGGACTGAAACTACAACCATTCAGACATAGACACAGATCCCAGAACTGCTAAGCCCCAGAAATCTCAATCTGTATAGATTTACACCAAAATACCCAAAACCATTACAAAACATACATGTAAAGAAATGTACATAACACTTAGTTTCTGGTTATTGGAAACTTTATTTACTTACAAAAAATAAGCAAGAGATGTAATGAACTATGCAGGCTATTAAAGAAATGCAATATCTGGAAAGGTCACTTATTTAAAAAAGAAAAAAAATTTGATCTGTGGTCATGCCAATACAACATTGTGGTGTCGAGCAGGTGAATCAGATTGTCTAAAACCATTACAACTTATTTTTCCAACATAGGATTGCTTATACTGAATGTACTGTAGATAATTTACCCAAGTGTACCATTAGTTATAATAAAACTGTTCAGTGCCCCCAGTTCTGCATACCGTGTCCAACACAATATGAAAAGGGAGGGAAAAACGGGGAAAAACAAAACATGAAAACATGTAACTCATTTTAGCAGGGATAAAGATTTCCAGAATTTTCTTCTTATATATCTTAAACACCTATCATAAAATGTGGAATGGTATATTTAACAATGTAACACTGATGATACATGAGATTTCAACTTCTAAGAATCACTGAATCAGAATATACTGCACACATCTCAGAGGGACAGATCAAGCCTGTTTTTTATTTCAACTTGCATTTTTCGGAGTGCCAACTAAACGCCACCTGACAATTTTCTGATAATAGAATTTGCTGATCAGTGTAGACTTTTGAAAGTGAATTGAAAAAAGGTGTACAGATTTATCAGCAAGACATTGTTCATTTCTCATTCAATTATCTCTCCATTGCCATAAAACAAAAGTAATCCCACTTCACCAATGATTAGTGTTTCAAATGATGCACCACAAAAATATACAAGCTACAGCAAGCCATTAAAATAAATGATAATCTCATGAAGCCGCAGCTATTGAGTGCTAGAGAACAAACAGCAGCAACTTTCCCATACTGCAGGCTGAGAAGATTCCGGTCCACTTCAAACTACCATCACCCTCATTATCACTGCATTGACAGCATGGCCTCGAGCTTTCTCTACCACTCGATGGTCCCAATTCAAGCACCAGCCTCTGAAGGACAGGGTATTAATGCCTTGAGGTTTGACAGATAAGCATTTACAAAAACAGAAAGAAGACAAGCTCAGAACAATTAGCATGTCTCCTTTGATTAAAGCTATAAGATGGCATCATGGAATTGGCCGTGAATGGGTAGACGAACCTGATAAGTTCTGAACTTTCAGTAAGCAAGAAGTCCTTAAAATTATGTTTTCTCCCCAATCAGGGTGGATCAAGCAAGGAAGCAGTTCTTTCTTTTATATGCACAGTGGGGGTGAAAACCAGAGGAGGAATGGTGAAAAATGAAGATGAGAGCAGACAGACCTGAGAATCATTCATACAGGAGGCAAGTGGCAGAGAGGCTGGCCTCCACTCCTGTCCAGGAAGGAAGGTGTGTGTGTGTGTGTGTGTGTGTGTGTGTGTGTGTGTGTGTGTGTGGGGGGTCTTGGGGCTAGTTAAGGCAGGATCAGCAGGAGGCGGGACACCTCATTGCCTGACCTCCACGTAGTTGGCAGGAAAGAGCCCATAGGCCCCTTTGCACACACCCCTCCACCAACCCTCATCGATCATCTCTATGTTGGTGATGATGTCATCGGGATCAAAGGAAATCTCATCATCGCCAGCTGAAAAAGAGTGTGCGTAAGATTATATTAAATATTGATTTTATATTAAATGTACACATCCATATATTTTTTATAAATATAGCTATACTGGGTTGTTTTGATGTAGCATGAAGGTTCAAGCCAAAATGTGCACGATTCCTCCTCCTGTGCTGCAGTAATGGATCTCAGTCCACAGCCCAAGAGTCAATGAATGTATTTCAGCTGCAGGTCTCAGGTTCTAAACATCCAGCGCTACGGCAGGGCAGGGCCGCTGGAGCAATGGGCCAGTCCCCACTTATGCTTCCAGGATTGCAGGGCCCTTGTGCTGCCCTCACCCACCTTAGAGGCTAACATCAAGGGGATTAGCCAATTACAGCCGGGCAGCACAATCACGGCTGCAGACTCCTTGTAGCCCTGTAAACCCCACTATCAAAGACCATTTCACTGGGGTCTGGGATGGTACATTTGTATAAATTACTTCAATTGTTGCACCAGGCAAAATCATTAGCTTTATATTAAGCTTCACGTTAAAAAAAATGTAGGTACATTTGTACATTTCCAGTGGCACCTCTCACAACACCCCAAGAAAATGACGACTCTGTACCCTGCAATGCCACCGCACTCACCAGCCTGGTAGTCATACAGGGCCACTGCTGTTACCCCCAGGTCCTCTCCGTACTCTGCATAGGTGTTGGCATCTAATCACACAAGGACACAATAAAGACCACAACCCATTTTTACACAGATCTCACAGGCAACACATTTGTAATGGAAACCCAGGCCTGAAAAGCCATAGAACATAAAGTTAAACAGTCAACTGTGCCACAACACACTTAATACAACAGATTACAGTGTGCAGAGGGACGCGTAAGACAGCATGGCTACAGTCTACAAAGAGCAAATGTGAGTCAGTTAAAAGGTTGCTGTGTGCAGTGAGGATTGGTGAGAATTTGTCAATACTTGTATAATCTTAGACCTCGGCCTCCACAATGCATGGATGTACAAAAAATTCAGGTTTTTTGCATTTGAAAAGTGGTTCAACTGATTTATTACTGAAAAGAACCAGTTCAAAAGAATGATTCGTTCAAAAATCAGCCATCACGATTGTTCACTTCAATAGCTGTTTTTGTGTGCAAGTAGCGTAGTTCGTATAGTGCTTTGATCTCCGACAGAAAATCACAGAAGTACAAATGCGATTCCGCGTTGTATTGGACTTGGGTACTAATATATCAGTCTCACTGTGATATCAGGCATTGTAGCAGGACTGACTGTACATTTATGAATGGAGGTGATCCTGCACTGTGTGGATTGCTACAGTTTAGATTTTTATATTACTAAATTTTCATTTGAAATACAGTTTTATTATTAGTTTTGTGTCACTGTATTAGTTTTATATTAAATATATATTTCTATTTAGTTTTTCTGTTTAGTTTCACCTTAAGTTTTAGTAATTTTATGTACTAATGTCTTATAAAGAGCACTAAAAGACATTCAAGGTATTAATGGTCATTAAAGATAAACAATTCATTACTTCAGACATATAGTATTAAAAACAGTAACAGAATTTGTTTTTATTTTGTTACTTTAAGAAGCAATATTTCTAGTTCTCGTGCAGTTGCAGCTTTTAATTTTTGTGTCTTATTTCAGTTTACCAAAATGCTTTCTTACAGTTTTAGTTTTTGTTAATGATAACAAGCCAGTTTGGGCGTTCTCCTGTGCATGTGTGCCTGTCCTCCGAGTATTCCGAGTTCCTCCCGTGGTACAAAGACAAACCATCCTGTGACCCGCAAACTCGTACTTGGGACAGACTAATTCTGTCCAGGGTGGCATTCCACTGCTCTGTACGTCCTGGGGTAGACTCCAACACTACCATGACTGTGCTGGATAAGCGG